ATGTGGAGAGACCTAACATAACTCTAAAAATCCCAACTATAAAGAGAAAACAGATGAAAATGTGTCACATGCAGTCAGCTTACTTCTGTGACGTCTTGTCTGCCAGGTATTTGCAGGTGATGACCCGGCTCTTCTAAGTAGAAACACACACCAAATACTAAAATACAAAACAAAACCCATGGCAAAGCACAAGCTGTGTGGTCTTCATATCCTAAAAGTAACCCATATGCAATTCTAGGCACTACTGGGGTTAAGTTCTTCACCTGCAATTACAGTACTTTTGGTTCTCAGACCAAACAGGTTATACTTGTTATTTTGAATTTGTTGACCAAATCATTCTTCAACTTAAAAATAAATTCAAATGCATGCCACTTTTTTTAAATGGGAAAAATCAACATATTTTAGAAGCAGCATTATCAAAGAATATATAGTGAACTTTTTAATCTTTAAAGACGACATTTTTATTCCTAGTAAGTTCCTTCTCATTAAGGTAAGCATCATAGGGTGATATCTGTGTTTTACGTTACTGTGAAAAGGGATTCGAAGGCAAACCACCTAGAGGGTTTAGAGTAAAACTTGGATCTGGGGTTGGAGAGATGGCTCAGTGGGTAAGAGCACAACAGAAAAAAACCCTTAGATCTGTAAATTTCCTTTTACTTCTCATTTTTATTATTCTATGACTGTGATGAAGTATGATTTTTCAGAACTTTTATTACATTTATTTATTGTGTGTGTGCACGTGTGTGCATATGGGCATCTATGCCATACTGTGCGTGTGGAGGTCAGAGGTTGGCTTGTGGGAGTTGGTGCTTTCCTTCTACCACATCAGTTCCAGGGACTGAACTCAGGTTTGGAGGCACCTTTACCCCCTGACCATCTCTCCAGTGCCATGCATTGTGGCTTTGATACTGAATATATACCTGAACTTTGCTGCTTTTTCCCAAGCACTAGGTTGTGTTTTCCTGCTAGATTTTGTGTTTCCATCAAGATTTTAGAATAATGGAAATATTAAAAGCAAGGCAAACCCTCTAAAAACTCCTTGCCTTGGAAACTAGAGTTGCTAGCTTTTTAAATACAAAATATGACCGGCCCTGAATTCTGTTGCTGACCTTGAGTTTCATATTTTATTTTTGATACTTACCACAGGTTCTCCTTTCCACCTGAGAGGCCTGTACTGGCTCCCTCCATTCCTAAGTAGGTCAGAAGAGGCAGTGCCTTAACCTGGGGAAGAAAGAGAAGGTGCTGCTGGGGCAGGACAGTCTGCAGTGGTTGTGTGCTGACAGCCAGACCTGGTTCCCACCCATCACATCTCTCCTTATGCTGTGCCCAAACTGAGAGACTTTGGGCAAAGTTTCTTTCTGATTTCTTATTTACCATACAAGGGAGTTTCTTCTGACCTGAGTAATTCCCCTCCCTCTTTCCTCTCTCCTGCTGCCTTTAGTTCCCTAACTCAGTATCCTTGGACACTTCTGCAGCAAGGAACCTTGGTCATTTCTGTAGTCAGATAGGGATGGTGAGGCAAGCCACAGTCTTGCCCCATGATAATCATTTTGTAGCTTTTAGGTGATTGCCTATGCATTCTAGGGCCATCTAAGTGTAGGGCCTGCTTGACTGACAGAATGGCACCTGCTTTGTGCTGCCAGTGAATGAATCCTGAGCTCCTTGGAGAACACAGGTACAGGTGTTGGTCAGGGTGGGTGTTCTAAGGGGGTGCTCACTCAGGTCTGTGTCTTCTGTGTTGTGTTCCTTGGTCTAGGTCTCTTGGCTTTTGTGATCCAGTTTCCAAGCTTTAGAAAGGAGTATTACCTTCAGGTTGAAGAGTTGCTATTAGAATCTTCTTGGGTTTTGGTCCTGGTGGTAGCAGAAGGCTCATAGATTTCCTCTCTGAGTTCAGCTCTTAACGTTCTTTTTAATTCATTGTTCCATTTATGGCTTTCCCAGAACTTTCAGGAACCCACCTCCATTCCTACTTCATGCCAACTTCACGGAGGAAGTTTGAGACATTCTTTGTTCGTTGGGGAAGTGATTCTTCCAAGCCACTGAGGGTGGGCACCAGATGGCCTGGTCATTAACAAGTGGGTGCGAATCAGCAACCCCCACAGCCTTTGGCATCCTTTCCCCACTCCTTGCCTCTTGCCCAGAGGAGGCGGGTGAGAGCTGGGAGCCCCAGGGAAGAACCAAGAAGACACTTTGAAGTTCTCTTTAAATTTAAAGTCCAGAGCAGTGTTTTTCCAGTTAAGAGTCTTTTTGGTGGAAGTCTTTATTCTGATTTTGAAGACAATAATTCCACTGTCAGATATCTGAGTTGTACCTAACTCTGTGATAAAGAGGACAGAGAGGCCCCTCCACACGCCTGTTCTCTAGTGTCTGTCTCCAGACATGTGCAGGCGTTTCTTTATAAGCAAATGAAGGGGAGCTTATTTTACACACCTGGTGTTATTCTGTTCACAGACCTCACAACAATGACAAGTGGCCCAAGGGCTGAAGGAGAAATAAGTGCTGCTGTGAGTGTGAGTGCAGATGAATGTGCACTCAGGGGCATGTGGTTCCCAATTGTGTGCACACACGTCCAAATACACGTGTGCCATCGCCTTTCCTCTAGGCTACTTAAGGACAGCATTTTTTTGCTTTATCTAGCATCCCCCATGACCAGCTTGCTCAACATACACACACTCCTGCTCCTGCCCTCCAGGTCCCATTCTGTGCTCTTGGGTGTGACCCAGAATTCCCTTCTGAAATTCCCCTGCTGCCGCTCCCACCACCACTGCCTGAGGATACTGTGGGAACCCTGTAAACGGACAACCTGCCCCTATGGCTCCCTAAATGAGAGTTCATTCAGAAGAACTGAAGCCCTGCAATGTGCCTGCATGATCTTGAACCCGGGGCTCATCCTTGCAGGGACATTTGGTTCTTCTCATGGTGTCCCAAGATATAGCTTACCTGTGGGTTGGAGTGTGGGGTCCTCTGCTGGCTGTCCTTCCCTTTGCTTTACAGGATGACAGTGTCTGAGCTGCCCCAGCAGTCCCAGGAGATGTGGTACTGTGGTGATCAGACAGAAAATTAAAGCCGGTGGAAGTACATAAGGATACATACCGGGTGTGCAAGGGGTCACCTCTCTGTTCTTCGGGTTGGGTATCTTCCAGTGTTCAGCTTCGCCTCGAGGTCATTGGTATTCAGTGCATAGCAAAGTATATGGAGTGAGCCTTTCATCTCAGTCTCTTCCAGCTCCAGAGCTTCACAGCGGCTCATTGGATTTTCAGTTTGTCTGTTAAGAATCCTGTTGGAGAGGGGAACTTCTGTTTATCAGGCTGAGATAGGGTCCCTGACTGCTTACGCACATCTTGGGAAAATGACCCCCTGAACATGCCCCAGCTCTGCTCAGCAGGAATGCTCTGCGACTAAGTGCAGTCACATAAAGAAGAAACAGATTGGATAACATCTTATCTAACCCCGCTTATCAACCATACTTACATTTCAGTATGTAATTATGGGTATATGGTTACACCATGGCCATCTCAACCCTGGCCATAGGCCAGGCACTCAAAGCCAGCTCCTCCTGCCCCCAGGACCAGAGGTGTGGTGGCCCCCCTCCAGGCTTGAGAGGGGTTTTGTATGTGATGGAGGTAGATTTCTCTTTACCCCACTTCGGCTTCATCTTCAGGTTCCAGTTCCTCCCTTGACCCTCAGCAACTGCTTTGTAGCTTCCGAGAGATTCATGCACACCCTCCTGTTGTGTTTTGAAATGGAATTTGGTGGAGAGTAGGAGTTCAACATAGTGTGTGTCTAGTTCCCAAAGTTGAAGCCTGCTTTCTTGAAAATAGTCCATTCTGATTTCTTTGGTAACTGGTGATGCACGGCATGTCTTTCAGAATGTCTCATTTACTAAACACGAATGTCAGGTCCTTGTATTTGAGATCATGCTGAAGCCTCATCAGTCAGATTTCATTTGTTATCAACAATTGGCCTATTTCACACACTGAACATATCGTCATTAAGACAGCTCCATCTTTGCACAGGTCTTTCCCCTGTGCCTCACCCCTATTGTGTTCCTCTGTCAAGACAAGGAAGGCTGGCTGGGGCAAGAACAGGCCCAGAGTAGAATCCCGGGAGAAACTGAATAGCAGAGGGGTGCAGCTTGCAGACTGAATGAGGCTATGGTATTGTGGAGGCGGACAGGGAAGGACCTTGACCTTTTCCTTCACCTGCTGAAGGACTGGGTCATAGCACAGAAGTGATGTGGCCTCCTCAGCTAAACACCATACAACTTGTAAAGTCTTTTTATGAACCATAAACTAAAACCAGTTCTATAATCCCCAGCAGCTATTGAATCCATTCGAAATAATTAGATTTCTTAAGAGACTTCGGACCTTTAAGAGGTCAGAAGATGTCCTAGGAGAGACATTAGCTCATGACTTTGACCACGTGTTGCACCAGGACTGACAGGAGAGTGTACAGGGGAAATGAGAAAGCTGAACTCCGCTTGTGTACCGCTTGGAAGCAGGAAGCTGTGTCTGTACACAGGATGGCTTCTCTCTCTATTCTCCTGCTGAGCTGGCTTTCTGCTGATAGCTAACTACGCTGCATGGAGATAACACTGCGGGCCATCAACCGTATTCCAGCCCATATCATTGCTGCTGTGCGCTGAAGTGTTTACATGGTGCACAGTGGTCGTAACACCTTGAATCTAAGAAGACCTGCCCATTGCGTTATCCTGAAACTCTGGCAGTAGAATGTTCAGTGGCTCAGCCGAAGGCTGGATATGTAGGGGTTACTGCTGGTTTTATGCTTTTTAGGTCCCCACACTTACTTGTTAAATAGATTTCTTGTGTGTATATGTTCCTTCACTTAGATATTCATAAAGGGAGACAGTTCATCCCAGAGTGATGTAATTTTTTAAGTGTTTTCTCATCCTGAAGCTGTTTGTGTAAGAAGGCCAGGTATGGAGAAAGTTGTGCATTTCCATTCCTGCCTGTGAAAATACGTTTCCTGACTCTTCACAGGGACCTTCGGTTCAACAGAATCCGAGAGATCCAGCCAGGGGCATTCAGGCGGCTGAGGAACTTGAACACGCTGTAAGTCGGAACATGGGATTGCTAGCCAGTTGGAGACAAAAGGAAAAGAAAGAAGTGGTTGTACTGTGAATTGGCAGTTAGATGTCAGATGCTGTGGCCATCCTTTGATTTTCAAAGTTACTAGGGATGAGTCAGAAAGCCAGGATGGTGGCGACTTGCCCACTCTGTCTGGTCTTTCAGTGCAGAGCCATCATACCTGGGCTTCCAGTGAGTCACTCCCACATCACACTAGCCTTTGCCGGCTGGGTTTGCCAGCATACTTCATCTCTACCCCTGCAAGGCTGAGTAGGAGAGCGCATCTCTTGGACTTGGCCTGGCTGTAGCCACTGAGTTATGCCATAGAACTTTGACTTCCCAGGGAGACGGAGCCTTCAGAGTACCTCAAGCGTGGTGAGAAGCGGCTCCTGTCGAGGAGAAGGAACCACTCAGGTCCTGAAGGGCAGGGCAGGCTGCAGCTCTGTTCGTGGGCTCCTCACTGTGGAAGTGAGTGGCCCTCCTCAGGGACAACCCTCCCATACTTCCATGATTGTGTTAGACTGTCCCTCAGCCCTGCTAGAGAAGAGTCTGAGAGGTGGCAGGCTAAAGATGTATATCCCTGTGTCTACGAGAGAGGATTTATTTCTCTAATGTATATGACAGTGGAAGAGAGATCTGGTAACTGTGGTAACTCAAGTTGGTCCCCTGTAGCCGGCATCTCCTGACTGCTGTCAGTAAGGTCTGCACTTCCATCATTTTCTGACCCTTCCAAGGCTATAGAAATGCTTTTCATTAGCACAATTTGGAAATATTTTTGTTTGTGTTCTAAACTTCTGTTGAAATATTCTTCCACAGGCTTCTCAACAATAACCATATTAAGAGGATTCCCAGTGGAGCGTTTGAAGATCTGGAGAACTTAAAATACCTGTAAGTTAAGGGCTATTCCTCTGCCCCACCAGCTTATGTTGTCTGTTCTTAGAGTATTTAAATGTAGAACCACAGCTTACCTGTTGGTGAGTTATTGTTAAAAAGAAAATCCCAAGTGGCTTTATTTTTAGATGAGTGACATTTTAAAACAGATCGTCATCAGTTTGAAGTGCTGGGTTGAGGTAGACTAGATGAAGCCCACATGCACTGCCTTTGACAGCTGTGCTCTGGGAGATGCGAGGTTCTGAGGTGGGAGGGACAGTGTGCCCAGACAGGCACATCGTGCTTTGCTGAGCACAGCATCCTGGGGCATATGCATAGAGAAGTACAATTTTTTAAAATTTTATTTATTTTTGTTTTTTATGTGTATGAGTGTTATACCTGCATGTATGTAAGTGTGCCCATGTTGTGCAGTCCCCACGGAGGACAGAAGAGGGTGTCAGATCCCCTGGAACTGAAGTTATGGACAGTTGCTAGTTGCCATGTGGGTGCTGGGATTTGAACCTGGCTCTTCTGCAAGAACAGTCAGTGCTCTTAACTGCTGAGCCATCTCTCCAGCCCCCAGAGAAGTGTATTTTGCAGACACAACAAAACTTGGAACTGCTTCTTCAACTGTAGGTGGGATGTGCCTGTAAATTACTGTTTCCTTTGGAATTATGACCTTAATTCCTGTTGTTCCTATCGTCTCGATTTTTACTCTTCATTTTTATGGAGCTAAGTGTTTTACATTTGAAAATCCACTTTAAGTTACAGTCATCTAAAACAGCTCTTGCTTGTTGAAGTCAGTTCTGCAGTTTAGAAAATGATCACTTTTTTTTTAAAGTTCAAAAGCCGGGCCTGGTGTCAATGTGTTTGAGATCCTAGCACTTGGGAAATTGAGTCAGAAGGCTCACCATGAGTTCAGGGTCAGCCCAAGGCTACATGGAAAGATCTCCATCTTGAAAGAAAATTGTGAATGACCTCCCTTCAAAGCACTGCATGTGCACAGATCATAAAATGGGAAGGATTGAGGAAAACTCGTTGCTGCCCACAGGCTGCACTCAAGGCCCAGTCAGGTTAGAAGCACCTGCCCCCTGCATTTAAATGATTCTGCCTTGAAAGGCTTAGTTGACTTCCCAAAGGAAATACATACCATATTGAATACAAACACCTTTAATTTGAGTTACTTTTTCCAACTAAATCATTTTGTTGGTGTGACTGTATACTGGAAATCTGTTTTTATGTTAGTGGTCTTTAAGCTCTGCATATTGACATGTGTTTTCCTCAGTGAAAGTGTTGAGTGCAAACTCTCTTCCCTGCTTCTTGGTCACAGAATGCTGACTTTTAGTGTATGAACAACTAGGCATGCCTTGATGATTTTTAAAATATGGGACAGGACAGGCCTTCTGTTCCTCGAGCATTGTTTACCTTCTTGCTGTTACTGTTATTTTAAGTGCTGTCCAAGTTGCCCCAGGGAGCTTTGACTTCCTGGAAAGTAGAAGTGTTTGGGCTGTGTGCATGTGTCTGGGTTTTTCAGTTTTATTCTGAAGGCATGTTCAGTATCAGGAGTTTGGGGATACTGTTTTCCACAGTATCCTTTAAATCACATCTGCTGGCCTGTCCCTTGAACTTATTTCCCTTCAAGCAGCAGTGTCCTGACTTCTCTTCTCCTTCACAGATCCTGGGGCTGGGGTCAGGATAATGGATCTCAGTAGAGATGGATTTTCACTCTGGGAGACAGGCTGCATGGGGTGGATCCTGATGCCTCCTGCAGCTTCCTGCAGGTCCTGTCTGGCTTCCTCCTCCAGTGCCCTGGGATCTTATTGGCAGAACGCTTCTGGATAATCACTTAAATAATGGGATTTTAGGTGTTTAAAAAACATATCTGAAATTTATTGATGTTCAGCCTTGTATATTTTTGGTCAGTGCCAGGGCATGCTTTTGGAAATTGACTAGTCCTTTTTCCCTGGACCTCAATTACTTCTGGTAAGGCATTGACCCCCACTTCATTCATATTTTCTGATGATGAAATTTGTGCTTCGGATAACTGGAATTCATAGTCAAAGGATGGAACGTATAAAATAAATTAAAATTAATTATTAGAATATTAACTATTTCTATGAAATAAGATTATTCCCAACCATAGATCTTAGAGAAAACTCCCAGGCTGTCATATCCCTAGACAAATGTAATATGGATCCTTAAATCTAAAGACAAGTATCCCAGTCACCACCCATCAAAGAAGCTTCATTTTTAAGAAACAGAGATAGTTACAGAGTTCTACAACTAGTCACACACAGAGATATTCTGTGAATTGCCCAAGCCTAAGTGGCACATCTTGGATGCAACCTCTGCGCCTAAGGCTCACAGAACATAGAACAAACAAGGGATGAAGAGAACACTAATGCATTTTTCAATTCTCGTCAATGAAGCTCCCTCATGCAACAGAGGGCCGGGAACGAAAAAGGCCACAAATGGCCAAAACGCAGAGAAGAAGAGTCTGCAGAGTGTGGGTCCCTGGACATGACTCCTATATTGAGGTCCACCCACTCAGGGCTCAGGAACCATTGTGGAGGAGAGGGTGGAAAGATTGTAAGAGCCAGGCAGGAGGTGCATGACCATATGAAAATGGTCCTACAGGCTCCTGGGACCCTTCTCGTAAGAACCTACAGCAATGGTGTCAGCATACATAAGACCCATGCAAACGTAAGCAGAAAAAACCCCAGAACAGGACTGTGGAAATGAACAGCAGGCCCCAATTTTAGTCGAGTAATTATTGGCAGCTGACTATTGCTGGGTAAGAATGAGCTGATCTTCTTAAAGGGAGGGACTCTAGATAAACTGACTAGATCCCAGTGGATGAACTGGGCATCTGGGGACACTAACTTTACATGATAGGCGTTAACATAAATGATAGAAGGTTTGAACTCCAGGGGGCGTCCTATGGAGGGTGCCAACAGAGAAGGAGGTATAAAGATGATTTTCTGTATGAAACACACAAAAATTCAATAAAAAATTAAAAAACCATTCCCAACTATTCTTATGAAAACAAATTAAGCTAGAGTGTCTTTAATTTTCCTTTCAAAAGTTTGTTTTGTAATTCTGGGGATGGAGCACAGAACTTTGCCTATCTATATCTGAGCTATACCCCCAGCCCTATCAGCGTCTTTATAAGCATACATTTATATATATTAGTTAATTTGGATTTAATTACTTTCCACACCCTTCAGAAGTATGCCCCTACTCTCTGTTATTAAAAGCCATGCAAAGCAATGCTTTCTTGGTATTTTGCCTTAAGAAGTAGACAGAAAGCCAGGCGTGGTGGCACATGCCTTTAATCCCAGCACTAAGGAGACAGAAGCAGGCAGATGTCTGTGAGATTGAGGCCAGCATGATCTATATATCATGTTCCAGGCCAGCTAGAGCTACAGGAAGACCCTGTCTAGGGAAAAAATGGGACACAAAAGAGGCAGTGATAACTCAGGCCTGGGCAGTTGCCACATACCAGGCCATGGCCTAAGAACTTTGTACTTAATCATTTAATTTCAGTGATGCTGTCCATTTTGCAGAAAAAAAAATGAAGTACAGAAGGCTTGAGTTCTTATCTGGCACACAGAGAGCCTGGAGAACTAATTCCTGATGTGCCTTCTGTTGTGAGTGCTGGCCTTTTGATCTGGGGCAGGGACTGGACATTGTATTTCTTTTGGTTTTACCATCACCATTTGCACAGAGGGAAGAGGTGAGAACCTCCTCCGTGGTTGCAGCATTAAAAAGAGCAGGTTCAGGAACTGGAGAAATGGTTCAGCAGTTAAAAGTGCTTGTTGCTCTTCCAGAGGACCTGAGTTTGGTTCCTAGCACTCATGTTGGGCAGCTCACAACCACCTGTTATTCCAGCTCCAGTGGATCCAACACCCTCTTTTGACCTCAAGGATGCTTGCATGCTTGTGCACATACCCCCATACACACATATACATAAAGTAAAAATGAAATCTTTTTAAAAAAGAAGCAGAAATCTCTACGGTCATTAATGATAATACAGTAAGCTGCTCTACCCCCCTAGACACCATATTACAAGAATTAAAATGATATTGTTTGTGTTTTGTTTATTACTTTTTTGGTATTATACATCTTTATTTGTTTAGTTGCTATCTGTGTATTCTTTTTAAAAGATTTTTATGATTATTAACTTCTTAGATTAGTATATACTACTAGGTTTCATCCTGGCATCTTCATGCATATGTGTTATGGTTCTGTTCCTGGACTCTCCTGCCCTTCATGGGCCTCCTCTCCAACTGGTTCCTCAGTTAAACCCAACCTCTGCTTTGTCATTACCTGTATTCATTACCCTCTGTATCTCCCATTCCCTTATGATGTCTTTCACACCTCTTGTGTCCTGTTTTGTAGTTTATCACACACACACACACACACACACACACACACACACACGTGAATGTTGTATGTATTCATGAGAACAGGTGGTGACACCAGATGCTGAACTTGAAGTATAAGTTTTGCTTGATGGGGAAACGTGGGAGAAGTGTGCCTTTTGACTTGTCCCTCTGCTTGCATCACAGATGAAGACAGGCCAGTTATAATAAAGGGCACAGCAGACTCCTTGGTCCCAGAAGGAAAGAACCATCTTTTAGTCATAGCATCCATGGGGGAGTTACCAGATACCTGATGCCGAGGACCAGATTCTGAGGAGCTGCACAGGCCTGGCATGTCAAGATGTCATGCTGAGGTAGTCCCAGCACACATGCTAGGTTGTTCCTTTTGGAACTGTGGCATTTGGCTGTGATGGTCTTTATCCATGCTGCGTCAGGTTAGAGTTTCTCTGTAGAGGAGCCAGTGCATATTTGCTGAGGGAGCCTGAGATAGTAACTTGATATAGTTTTCATGTTCCATGAAATGCATTTTAAAAAAATTTCATCATTTAAAAGCATAGAGTCCATTATTAGCTTGCAGGTCATGCAAAACCAGGTCCTGCAGGACACATGGTGCTTAGGAGGTCTTGCTTCTGTTTTACAAGAATAGCACTCCAGGTGCTGAGGAATTCAAGGCGCCCGCAGACTCCGTACTTTTCCAGAGTGTGCTGGTGTTTCTAATCAGTAAGAAGTTGTGCTGGATAGTTTCAGTTGTCAACTTGACACACTTGGGAAGGGGCAACCTCTATAGGATTGGCCTGTGGGCATGTCTATGAGGCATTTGATTGACTGTTGAGTGATGTGGGAGGACCCAGTCCACTGTGGGTGGTGCCACCCCTGGGCTGGTGGTCCTGGGTTGTATGCAAGAAGCCGCTTGAGCACAGGCCAGATGAACAAGCCAAAAAACAGTGTTCCTCCATGGTCTGCCTCCTGCCTCCAGGTTCCTGTCCTGACTTCCTGCTCCACTTCCCCCAGAGATGAACTGTTACTTGGGAGATGTAATGTGAAATAAACCCCTTCCCCCCCAAGTTGGTTTTGGTCAGAGTGTTTTTATCACAGCAACAGTGAAATCTAACTAGGACAGAAGTGTTGGTTATAATCTTACGATGGATGCCTTTTATATGCATGGGAAAAGCATTTTATCTAGTCTTTGAAGCCCAGGTCAGGTTATCACTAGCCACAGTAGAGACACTGTGGACCACTTGCTTTTGACCCTTGAGGGATAAGAGAAGGGACCACTGAGAGTGGCGTGGTACCTACTGTGTAATGTTTTGTTTGTACCCTCATACAGTCATTAATTTTAAACTGTCTCCAAGTGTCAACTCAGTTCTCTTCCACCGAAGTGGAGAGCTCTTGTGTTTGCTAATACTCCTCCATGTTTCTTGTTTCAGCTATTTGTACAAGAATGAGATCCAGTCAATTGACAGGCAAGCATTTAAGGGACTTGCCTCTCTAGAACAACTGTAAGTGCCCTTCCCTTCTGTGCTTCTGTGTCCTCCAGGCCACCTGCCTTATTGCCTCCCCTAGGGAGAGATGAACAATTGCATGATGCATGTCTGTACTTCCGGGGTGCAGGGAGGATGTGCATGATGAGGAGAAGCAGCAGTGGGCGTTCTTCACCCGCCTCTCCGACCTTGCTCACAGTTCCCCACGCCCACCAAAGAGTAGGCCTTGCTGGGTTTCTTCCAAGCCTCAAGACCCTGGCCCTGCATTCACCATTGTAGGAATGGTGAAATTACGGCTTTCCTGTCCAGCAGTAAGAATGGGAGTGGAGAGACAGGCATGCAAAGAATCAGGAGCTACAGGGCTGTTGTGGTCGGAGTGCTGAGTGTGAGGTGTGAGCTCTGTTCACAGCACACGGTTGGTTTCATTCTCTCAGTCACGGTGTCATTATTTTGGAGGAAACAAACTTCCTCCTGTGAGTTCTAGTTAGTGTGCTGAAGTGCTGTTCCTTTGGCCACATATGAACTTGGACTTTGTTATAGAGTCAGTGCGTTGATTTTTTTTTTTTTTTTTTTTTTTTTTTTCAAAAAAAAAAAAAAAAAAAAAAAAAGAGGACGATAAATCTTTCACTGTGATATATCAAAATAA